ATTTTTTATATATTATATAAAATATTATATATTATATAAAATAATATATAAATATATAACGTAAAAAGCCATGTTATTTTTTGCTAAATAATAAGTTAACAGATGGCGCCTCATAGGAAGGAGACATCACACCTTCGCTTCCTAATTCACACCCTATATAATGGATAAGCTCCAGCACACGAGCCCTAAATGCTCGGCAAGGATACTTACTCCTTGGATTTAATTGTTGGGCCTATAATCTGAACAAAAATATAAGAGCACATATGGATTTTATCGTACCTTTTCAGAATAGCAAGTCGCACCATTAAATAGTTTTATTTTGAATAATGTTGACAACGGTTCATACTTTACCCTGCTTTACGCTATACAAAACCCTGAACCGCTTTTATCTCGAGGCACCATGTCATAGGTAAAGTAAACTGAATTATGACCCAACAATACAATGTCTAATTTGCTTTCAAGTAGGAATACAAAACATTACGTACACTATTAGAAAGTCATTCATGGCTGGCAAGCAGTATGTTTATTAATCACTATAACTATCTTACTGTAAATAAATAGAGAGAAACGACCGCGTATGGAAGGATATCGCATAAGGAAACAAATATATAATTCCATGATTCATTTTGTTACAATTATTATTATCATCGTCATCACAATTATAAATATAATAATAAGTATCTATCATCATTATCCGCTCTATCATTGTTATAAGGGTATTAGACAATTATATCATAAATTATATTAACATTATGATCATCCTCATCATTACTATTACTGTATGAATACTGTTTACAGAAACTTTAAAACAAATTTAAAGTTTCTGATCCGTCTCCTTACATATTTTCAAGACGTTTCCACGTATTTTTGTTGGCAGCAAGTTCTTAAAGTTCCTTGATGTCACAAAAGTTCCAAAATTGTAGGCCATCCTTTTGGATGATCTTTGCAAATACTCCAAGAAGATTTATTTTATGACGACCACGTCTACCTGGTTGGACAGCATCCATCATCTGCGAATGACAAAGCACGGTATGCAGGGGATGTTTCCGCTATTCTGAGGACATCGCCAAACATTGGCTTCAGACTATAAGACGTCTATTCTACGGATCCAAATTTTGTTGAAACGCGAAAAAACAATATTTTCAAGAATGATGCACATTGTTTATTACACATTTATTATTTATAGCTGCGAAAGAAACAAGCAGCTTCTTTTAGCTCCACGCTTCGTTTTGTCTTTATGATCTTACCGCTGCTACCTAGATCTTGTTTATTAGCCAAATTTACCTGTGTGAAATGAGTTCCTTCCTTGTGATAGGTTATTGTTTTTTTTAATAGTGGGTAATATGTGATCTGATGTCAGAGGATCTTCATCTAAAATTCGATGCCATCAGCATATTCCTACTTGAGTGCCATCCCCAAAAACGAGATTGGTGGATTTGGTCTTTGAGAAAATGCTCTAACTTGTTTAAGTGCTCCAGCAAGAGAGTGAACAATGCACCCGATTGGCTATCGCCTTGAAAGCCTTCTGAGAGTAGGTTGTTAATTTTAACTCTCATGTGAGCGTTTGCAAGATGAAATCGAATGAGCCTGACGTCAACTTGGTTACACCCTCATCATTATAATATATATTATTATTATTTTACTAAAAATTATTTGATTTTTATTGTGTTTTTTATTAATTATTATTAATAATTAATTATTATCATATCACCTTATTAATGACAAAACCACTATCAATATTTTGGTGCATTTCACCAAGACTGTCCTCGAAAAATACTTATGGCAGCACATTTTGACTAGTTACTTTACCTTAAAATTAAAAATAAAATAGCATAATATTGTTGTCTTCTGCATGAGAACGCTACAAGCATTACATTTGAAATTTCATCGGGTTTTGGTGATTAAAAACACGCATATAATTTATGTTTTGTAAAACGGGAAAAAACATGTTCTAATGTTTGGACCATGGGGTTAAGAATACATTACCAGGACACATTGACATCGTTAAAGCCCCATTCCCAAGCAAAAAAGAAAAAGAATTTTTTGAGAAAAAATGCTTATGTATTACTCTAACTATATATTATAAACCACTGAAAAATATTGGCATAAATTTTAGTTTTACACAAAATTATAAAAAGAAATGAGAGACTATTTCTCACAGAAGATTACTATTTTCTCGCACACTGCGGTCAATTGAGTAGGCCTAAGATATTGTTTAATTGTCAAAATCTTGGTCAGAATGATTTTTTTTAACAAAGTAGGCCTTTTATATTTCACAAGTGTCAATACTATCAACGGGAAATATCATGTCGGCCGTTTTAATGTCTGATAACAGAACCAATCTAGGCCTGTGCATAGCAGTGTTGGATAGGCTAATGTTTCCGGCGCCTACTATTCGCAAACCTATTGAAAAATAAAACATTAAAAAATCATCCGCGTTTACATTTTCTATATGGAACACAAAAACAAATAGAAATTCAGTTTTAGTTTACATTTTTTCCATAATATATAAATATCTAAATTCAGTTAAACTAGCAATTTTGTATTATATTTATAAATCTTTATAACAGAGGCCTATATAAAATTCAGATTTTTCTTTACTGAAATTTTGCCGGGAACAGGGCTTCCAACTATAGCATGATCTCAGAAATTGTATTCAATATTAATTATCACTAATCATATAGGCTAGGCCTACGGGTCATAAGATTATTTGATTGTAATGCTGTCATTGCGATAATTTATCATAGTCAGGCCTACTCTATGGCTATGATCAATGCCTCGTATCACTTAGGCCTAAACAACGTAATATCGGGCCTTGGAGCATTGCTGGAACCGACGAAGAGTTAAATAAATTGAACGTAACACCCCTCCCTTTCCGATCAACAAGGATTTACCACCCGCAATGAATTAAACATTCTACCAGCTATTTTTCCGTAACCTGTAGATCTCAGATTTATATTTTCCACTAAACCCTCCTAGAACATGACATGACATTCATTTACACTGTAACCACAATTTCGCAATGTTGCAATACAATTTGGTAGTAAGTCGCTTAAATTTCTGTATACTAACAAATAAATTAAATTTGTAAATTCTTTTTAGGCGGCGGCCTTTTTTGGTCTTTCTTTCATTCATTCATTCTTTCTTTATTCAGCTAAATAAATGTACACTACAATAAATGACGTCTTTCGTAGCTAGACGTAACAGATCAATTACTGTAACGAATAATATTTTTACGAATTCATTATTTTACACTGAAATGGAACATGTGATGAAATTTCATCAAAATCAGATATTTGAACCAAATTACCCCTTTAAATGATATAGAGGCCTATCATGTAAACCTCTAAGGAAAAACGCTTTTTGCTGGCTTCGCACTAAATCTAACGATGACAAATTCAGCAAACTTCAGGTCGTTAGTCTGGGTATTTGTTTTTCCATCCTATCACTGCTATAAAATACTACTGTTTGAGGATAAACAGAAATCAGGCATTGTAGGAAAGATTGATTGAACAAAGTTCAGAGCATTTACTTGCACAACACGGTCTACCAGGGGGTACGTGAGTGCTTTCCGACGACCAGATAGTAAGTGTTTTGTCGCCAATATACAATGCACTAATTCCGTCCTGGGCGGATGCACTTTTTGTCGGAGGTGAGAAAATTTTGAGAATATGGACAAGATGTCGGGAACTTGCACTTTCATACTTTTAAAATATTCCCGGCTCTATATTTGTAATGATAAAGATACAATAAAATACGTCTACACGACCCCACCCCCATCCCCACCTAATCCCTCATGCATATTCCCAATCTGTCAATTACAAATCAAATGTACTTACCAGGACATTTGGCGTCTTTAATTGATTAGCATTTTGGACTAGTTACATTACAGGGCTGATCAACAACTGATCATTTTACGCGATAGGGGCCTATCTCATCAGTATAATGTGATAAGCCTACAGTTTCACCTACATGGTACCCTGTAATCAATTTAGGCCGTCTGGGGGCGTTTTTATGCGGGTATTTTGCGAGTACAACACAATTACTGAAGGTTGACTTGCCGAACAAGAATATGTAATAAAACTAATATTCCGATAACTCTTGTTTCTTAATGGAACGTTAAAGAGATCTAACACATACTGAGCGGATCCAGGGCACATGAGGGTTAAATCCACCTGTAAAAGAGAGAAGAAAGAAAAGAAAGAAGGAAGAGGAGAGCCCCACCACCCTGATCGGTGCTTCGCAAGTCGCATTTCCTCTACCAGATTTTTCTCTAAATCCGCCCCTGCATATTGTATAAAACAAGGAAACAAGTGAAATTACAATACAGTAATCAAATGAATAGGTTACTAGTTGATTGCAAAATTAAGGGTAGAAAAAAATACTGTTCCAGCGTTTTTTAAATACTGTCAATAGGCCTATTAGTGTATTGATATATACAATATTCATAAATTCATTTTTCTCTTCATTGGTAGTCAATTTAAAATAATTCATATTACTATTCTTGATTCTAATCCTTTCCGTGTGGTTATGTGTGCTGCTATAGTGCAGACAATGAGGGGGAAAAAACAGACCTAGACGAAGCATCGCGGTCAGGGTTTGAACATAAAAGCAAAACAAAAAACGTGAATTTTTTTTCAAAAGGACAGTTTGGTATACAAACGATATATTTATAATATTGATTGTTGATATCCTCCATATAATATTGGTCCTGCCATAATTGGACCGCTTCCTACTCACAATATTTAAGATAAATTAGTAGTTCTGAGTCTTGCATAATGATGCCACCAGAAAGACTAGCAAGTGTCCCAAGTCTCCCGGAACTCGAGGGAGTCTCCCGGAACTCGAGGGAGTCTCCCGGAAATCGAGACAGCCTCCGCAAGCAAGAATCTCCCGGAAATCAACCCATCTCCGCAAAATTCATGTGTATGTATAAAATGTTGTGCAAGTCTACGTTTGTTTTTCAAAAAAGAACTTATTATATAATGACAACTTATCTTTTGAGTTATTTTTATTGTTTGTTTCCATGATAGTCTCATAACCTCAACATAGCAAAATGAAATTCGGGACCTACTTAATAATAGTACTGTATTGTATTTCATTATTTAAATCCACAACCAAAAAAATTAATTCTTATTTTCTTTCATGAAAGATTGCACACGAAGTATAAAAAATAATAAAATTCCTTTTTTGAGATGAGATATAGCATCTGTAATAACCTAGATCATTAAGAGAAGTATTGTATGTGAAATAAATACATTTGATTTATAAATTCACTTTTATAATCAAATTTAACTAATTTAAATTCGGTAAATCCAAAGTTAAAAATTTTCATTTCTCATATCTCACGATTGGTTTCTAAAATCTGGAGATCATAAGCTGAAACAGTATGAAATACAGTATAATACATTTAAAAAGAAATACCTGTACTGCAAATAAATTAAAACACAGATGTATGTGAAAATAAATACATTTCATTTATAAATTCATTTTCAATCAAATCAAATATAAAATTTAACTAATTTATAATGGGTAAATCCAATGTTAAAAATTCACATTTCTCATATCTCAAGATTGGTTTCGAAAATCTTAAGATCATAGGGCAGGTTTTTGCTGAATAACGCCAAAAACACAAGTTTTTTTAAAACGGTTAAATTCCTTCAGAATGTGTTTTTAGTGAAAAGTGTAACTAAAAAAAAAACATGGTAACGCGAGCATTGGTAGGTGGGAGGAGCTTATAATGACGATCACCTACGGAAGTTACTGTTGACTTTAATTCCTGTGAGCTACAGTACATGTAGACTGGGTTCCAGTCCCTAAACTTTGTCTTAATCAGTGAAAATGCTTAAAAATAAATCTATTTTGGCACCATTGGCGTTCCATATTGCTTATTTGCATGGCGTTCCATAGTATACTTCTCGATATAAGCAGACGTTGGTGGCGCTCTTCAAAATTCTTTATACCTAGTCTCTCTATGAAAAACCAATAAATTAAAGACTTGTGGCAAGTCTACAGCACATGCTGCGAAGAAAGTAAACAACACACCGTGGAAGTATGAAAAAATATAAGGCTAAAAAAACATGTCATCTTATTGGTTAAATTTTTTTTTCTTTGTCCCACATTTCCTGTGGAAAAATGATCAAACCAAAGAAGAGGTCAATTTGAGTCACCGATGGGTCATGACTAACACGGTATTGCGTTGCAGCTGAAAAGTGAATAACAAAACACGTTTTCTGAATGCCAAACCTATAAAAAATGGTTGTTGAAACACGCATTTTTCGAACGCATTCCTAACCGTATTTTTGTTTTTTGCCCTGTTTCTGCTGGGGGGAAAAAACGTGTTTCTTTTTCTTAGCAGAAACAGGCTCATATGCTGAAACAGTAGGAAATACAGTAGAGTACATTTGAAAAGAATTACATGTACCGCAAAAATTTAAAGTACATTTGTATGTGAAATAAATACATTTGATATATAAATTCATTTTTATAATCAAATATCAAATTTAACTAATTTAAATTTGGTAAATCCAATGTTAAAAATTCATATTTTTCATATCTCAAGATTGGTTTATAAAATCTGGAGATCATATGTTGAAACTAAACTGAAACAGTAGGAAATACAGTATAGTACATTTGAAAAGAAATACCTGTACTGCAAAAAAATTAAAGTACATTTGTATGTAAAAAATAAATACATTTGATTTATAAATTCATTTTTATAATCAAATATCAAAAATTTAACTAATTTAACTAATATGGGTAAATCCAATATTAAAAATTTATGTTTATCATATCTCAAGATTGGTTTATAAAATCTGGAGATCATATGCTGAAACAAGGGAACAGATGGTCAAATGAAAAATATCTAATTTATATCTCTTGATTCATACATTTTCACAATTGGTCTTATCCCTCATACTTTTTTGTATACATTCAAAAGAAATAAAAGATACACGTTTTATGGGTCATTAACAGATAATAATTAACCAATGCAAAAAAATAAAGAATCTAGAAACTGTATGCTAGCAAGAACTGCAAGAGGTCCGACTCTCTGGGTTTTGTTGGAACGCAATCCTATCTAAAAAAAAAGTACTATCACAAACTAAAGGGCATCCTTCAAAAAAATGTTAACGGAATAGACGTTAGTAAATACTGCGCACTCTACCTTGTGGTAGTACGTTTTTTAACATTTCATTGCATGCATACAAAATCAGGGCAGTCGGACCTCTTGCAATTTTATACTCTTTTTGCTAGTCAGATTTTTTAACAGATAATAATTATCTAGAGAAGCTTTAGCCTCAATAAACAAGGTTAAACATTTAATTATGAAGAACATTTTGATGGAAAATAAATATATTTTGTTTATATAATTCATTCATTAATTCATTAAAGTATCAAATTAATTTAGAATTGGTAAAGGCAAAATCAAGATTTGATCTTATCGTTCATATTTCTTGAATAATTTTGTCAGTAGAACAGATGTTAGAACAAGTCATGTCACCACATAGATTGCAAGTCAGGTGTGCTAAGATTTCCTACAAAAGAACTCAAAGATCAGTTCGGTCAGAATCAGCTCATGATGACTAATCTCGCATCCAACTCGACCTTTCAGCTGTAGTGACATTTTGTTGTCTATAAAATTTAACTTTTCTAAAACCTGAAATTAGAGTTTGTTTTTTTTTTTTTTTTTAATTAGCATATTGGAGTGAAAATTAGGAAATTTATATTTATATACTTTACCCATATTACATACTTATTCATTTATTCTTAAAAATCAACAAGAAAAATATTGAAGCGAATTTAGAGTTTGGTTCTTGCTAATGAATGCCATTTTACACACTATTATTCATCTATGAATACCATCATGTTGAAATACAAGTGGAGCTACCTATAAATAAGGAATTAATAATATTTGTTTATTTTAGATTAACTATATGGTACTGATGCTGATGTTCCAGTCAAGAGATAAATTATTGGGATTTTACAAGATGTGGACCCAGGACACTGGAATATGCAATATGAGCATCCTAATTACTAAGCTACAGTTGGACATGTTATTCCCTTCTTCACATTGTAAACTGTATTTTCTACATTAGTTTAACTTTTTTTTTCAGAATTTTATACATGGAAAGGTTAAAAAAGTACAGTAATAGTGTCTAAGTGCAAAATGGTTTTAAGAGTTTAAAGTTTGTTAACCGCAAGGCTTTGTAGAAGAAGAAAACAAGAACAATGTGAATAAAAAATGTTAGAATAAAATGTAGTTCTAACCATCTGACACACAATCATTTTCCCCCTCCCCACCACCCCTGTGAGTTTCCAAGAGAAGTGATATTATAAATACCTGGATCCTTTGATGGTATTCCGGGAGCAACAGTAAGCTCTCTTCTGACAACTGATAGTACAACACCTTCACTTTCTCTTTTAATTCCATGTTATAATCGTGCTCAGCAAACTGTTGAAAAACACATTGTGAAACTACCTTAAATCAATGCAAACCATTCAGTATAGCCAATTTTAAATAACCTGTTTTAATTCATGGCTAAATTAACACTACATTACACTAGTACTGTAAAAAACAATGGAAACCGTTCAGACAGTTTTCAGAATCTATCAGGGGAATGAGTTCCAGTGACTTGCTTAATACACACTGCATCAAACCAAAAACCCAAGAGATATAAATGGCAAAACTACATTAATGCTTACAATGTTTATTATAACACACCTAAATAGATCCTTGTCATTTGATTGGTGGACACTGTATCGTGTGACATTGGTTATCTTCACCAATTCGTCACTCATGAAATAATTGCATCTGTGCATTGTTTTTTCCAATTTCTTTTGACCCATTGGACGCCCCAAACTAATACAATGCTTTTATTGTTTGAAAGAAGATGGAATATTCCATTCTTAAGAAAGGTAGACCTAACTTTATTTTTCATAAAATATCAAATGACAAGGACCTACTTTAATGTGTTATAAAACGAATAATGAATGTTCTGTATTCGTTTAAAGATTTACTCATGAAAATATTCTTCCCATTGCACTCATAAACTATATACTTTTTCTTGTTTCTCTTGTATTTTTCAAGTTTTCCCATTACACTCATAAACAATATAATTTTCTTGTTTCTTTTTTTGTATTTTTCATGTTTTCTCATTTTTTTCTGTATATTTTAATGAATTTATAATGACGAAATAAATGAAATGAAATTAATTGAAATATTTGTATACTATTTGCTGAAATTTTTGTTTCATGACACACAGTGACAGATTTGTTTAGTTAGAAAGGAATTCTGAGTCTTACATGTTGATTTAAAGCTTGACACATTAGGCACTTGTAGTCTGTCACTTTCTCCTGCAGACTCTGCATCTTAATGAACTTCTCAACAAAATCCATGTCTTGGATCTTGAGATCTTTTACTGGGTTCAGTGCTGGAAGACCTTCTGGATTATCCTCTGTCAATCGTAGCAGCTCTTGTACAACTACACTAGTATACTGACTAACTGCTTTATCCCTGAAATAAATATAATATATTTTTACTAAAATTTCTTCTAAAGGTGCCAACAGGCATAGTTGGAGTAGTGCTGTAGCACCAAACTATTGCATGGGGAAAAAATAATAATTAAGTGTGTTGGTATACAAGGATAAAATGACACCTCTTCTAAGAAGCTGGAAAAGAGCTTGTGAACGTATTTTCTTTTGTAGATTGATAAAGCAGATCATTATGATTCATGATATATGCAATTAGAAAGTTTATTACAAAGTAGTAGCCATAATGTATGAAAAGAATCATCCACTCAATACTATCAAATGATCTAGTAGGAAACTTGGTGCTGCATAATACAGTACAAGACAAAATGATTTACACATTCGTTTGTTAGATACTTTTCAGTATGTTTAATGGACACAGCAAAATTTGAAATCATATACACATATTTCGGTTACCTGAAGCGCGGAATCTGCCTCGTGTTCCAATCTGAAAGAATTTTCTCCGCATTTACATCAAGAGTTTTGGATGTTATTTCATAGACATCACTCGCTACCAATTCAACCACATCATGCCAACATATTCCTTCAGGTTGATATAAATTAGTTTTTAAAACCATTTTAACTTTTAACTTTCTAGCAGGAACTTCATTTGATTGACTGTTTCTGTCCTGTGATTGTTTATCGCATATGACAAGGGTTTTGAACTTGCTATGTCTATTTGCTGCGTAGAGGCTTAAAACAACACCTAATGCATGTACATGTTTCTCAGTGTTTACAACAACGACACGACCAATAGAAAGCGCCTTAATCTGCGAATGGGTTATTGATGTCCACTGTAGGAAAACAGAAAATGTAAATTATCATAGACGTCATAAATTTCAAAATATTACTATACCGCCATTCCATTATTTTTTGGCTATGACTAAAATCCAAATATTAACCACTTAACCGCAACCCTTTAATGCCAAGCCAATATTTTTCCCATAATCTCTTGGCAAAATTGATTGAATATGTTTGCATGATTTTGTCGCTAAATCATGCCCATACTGTATAAAGCCAAAAATATAGTTAATCACACCAAGTGGCTGCGGTACACAACGTAAGGAATTGCCTCACTCATACTCATTACTATTTGATAGTGTTGAAAAATTGATACCTAGACAAGCAAAAATGTTCAAAGATTAAAATATGGATGAAATGTACATTTTTTAATATGCAGTGAAAAATATGTATAGCAATAGCTCCCTAACATAATATGTTGCCACACACACCACAAGCTTCTGTAGCATGAAAGAAATTTGTCTTCATTTATGAACTATCATAAATTTCATTATTCATTGTACATATTTGTTGTCAACAATTACTATATTCCCTTCTACACAAAAAAAACTTGTAAAAACAGTGTGTTCACCAAGTTTTGTTGTTTTTGTGAACTAACACAAACTTTGATAGTGTTAGTGGTCTGAGTAATGATATATCTGAAAACTCTACCTGCAGTGCATATCTTAATTCATTCAGTGTTTTACAGGTGTTGTAATATTCTTGCAGGTCCTCCTGACACAGGTAGCATGACACCTTCTTTATAGACTCGACCTGCTTTGACAGTGTCTTCAGCTCCACCTCCTGCTGGTGCGAATCTTTCCGGGTGTGGAACTCTGCAAAGCTTCGCTTCATGACATCCTCAACACGGATTACTGCCACAGTTAAGAGGTTCAGGATCATGGTGTATGTCAGCCGGAATCTTGACTCAAGGTGCGTAGGCTTCCCCTGAAAAGAACCAAATTTTTACGGGTGGTTACATAACATGAGAAATATTGTATGTAAATATTCAGCATTATTATTACAGTAATAATAACAACAATAACAATAAACAACAATAATAATAGTATAATAAACAAAATATACATTGCATTTATATTATTCTTAACATATATTATATAAGGTATAAATGTTTATAATATATATTCCATTGAAAGTTTTGAAGTATGTCAGTGCATAATAAATGTATCACCTAACTATACCTCTTTCTTTTACTATACAAAGTAACACATATTCCCTTCTCTACAGCAGTATTAGCCCACCTTCTCTAACAAAACTATTACTCCACTCTCTCCAACCCATAGTATCATGGTACCCTCAATCATTACAACAGAAGAGTCCCCTAACCTCATTATCCCCCTTCCCCAATAGTTAGTATATTACTAACCTGCATCATGGCTTGTAAGTCAGATATTTCCGGCACGTCTCCCTTGCAGAGTATAATCACAAGGCCAGTGGTGTCCAGGCCTCTCCGACCAGCTCTGCCTGCCATCTGGATGTACTCGCCTGGCAACAGATTGCGAGGACTTTTACCATCATGTTTCCTAATAGTATCAAAAACTACTGTCCTGGCTGGCATGTTGACACCCATTGCAAAAGTCTCAGTGGCAAACAAAAGCTGATAGGGGAAAACAGAAATTGCATATGTTTTAAATTTCAAATAACAATGTAAATGTTTTAGATTGAAAAAAATACGTTAATATATATTTTTTAATATGATTGATAAAACTAGATTTTTGTGACATATATCAGAGATTTTCCCATACTGGCACAATGATGTTACACCCCATCTATACATGGACAATATGACAAGCAAAGATCTTATAAACACAAGATAGCATTCTCCGCGATTTACGCGTGCAAATTCTGTAATAAGGCATGAATGGCGCCCTCTTGCTAAATTGGAAACTTTTGACCCTTGACCGCTCTTACCACACCATACACCGCGCGACTTTACCTTCAGGGTATCAATCCTGTGAACAGCAGAACAGGAACCATCTCAGATCCATGGCAAAAGATAGGACGCCCTCTTCCAAAGCTGATTACTTTTTCTCTTTGGTATAATAGCGCATAAATGGCGCCCTCTTGCTAAATTGGAAACTTTTGAACCTTGACCGACACTTCTATTTGTTACACGTAAATCGCAGAGAACGCTATCTTGTGTTTATAAGATCTTTGATGACAAGTACTAACCCTTTTATGTCAATCTAATGTAGCTTCTACTACTTCCATGATTTTACAGTTTTACAACACTTCCCCTTAATTTTTTTTATAAATCAAATATTTCAATTAATTTTTCTTTATTCAAACTGTATTTATAGAGGATAACCATTTCAACTTAACCAATAAGGCCAGCTGATGTTCAGGGGCCCCCTATTAAAAATATGAAACATCTGAAAAAATGTTTGATTAATTAGATAAATACAATAAGTACAAAAAATGCCACAAACATGCAAAAAATAAACAAGCCATACAATGTAGATACATATATAACTTAAAATAAAAAAATAAAAATCAAAAATTGAAATATAGAATTTAAGTCAGAAATACATAATCGTTAATGTCTCTGACATTAAGTCACTGACTCTCAATCAACCCGCATACATTAATCAACTTCTTCCCAAATATGTGCCTGGCCGTTCCCTACGTTCATCTGATCTCAATTTAATTTCTGTCCCTCGCACCAACACTAAGACCTTCGGAAGATGTGTATAAGAGACAGGAGTTGGAGAGGGCAAATGGGGGCAGCATAAAGGTGACCGGGCTCAATCAAGTTTAGGTGATTTTTAACTACTCAAACATTTTTTTTCTTAAAAAAATGTTCAGCGTGAAAAGGTGGCTGACTGGAGAAGGGATGCTGTTTTTGGGGATGTGCCCCTTTCATTTCAGCGCATCCCCTGGGCCTAGATAATGCCAATGCTTGGATGGTTGGTTCATGCACACAGGGCGAGAACAAATTGAGAAAATTTGACATTACTATTAATAGAAAAGATTTTAATTTTTTTTTCATACTTTTTTGAAAAAAAAAAAAACCAAAAAAAGCATAAATTAAAAATCATTAAAACTAAAAGAAAGGAGGTTCTACTACCACAGTAGGGCCTATGTGAAACTAGAGCGCCCCCTCTACATCGATAAACGTTATCGCATACGTTTGCAAACAAAACGTAAACATACATAGGCCTAGGCCAGGGCCTAGACCAGAAATAATTATTTTTTAATATTTGAGGTTTTATTGCAAAATTACATACAGAATAGAATACAGAATGCCGTAATCAGCATCTCATTGTATTTAATACAGCCTACTATCTCTATGCTATGTTACCCAATCAAGATTGTCTAGCCGATAGGCTTAGCTCCTTCTGTGCAGTCATCCACACGGACAAAATCGGTCGATCGATGTGATCTGATTCACATCATAAAGTACGGCCTAGCCTAGCCGCACTACTCACCATTGCGTCGGAGCCATGTCCTTCGAGAGATGTTGGGAAGCGAATATCTTTCACTTCTAATGATGATATAAGAACAGACATTATGTAAATTTACAAATAAAATAAATAGCGCTCTGTGTAACAAAAGCCTAGCCCTCTTCTTCGAGATCTTTCTCTTTGCAGGCAGATAAAAAGTAGCACGTGACTGCAGAGAGGTACCTGGATTTATATCATCGCGGTTTCGTTCCCAGGTGATTGGATAACTTTGTAACCATGGAGATTATCCATGTTGCAGTTACATCGGCTGAGAAATTATACCACAGTAGTTTATTGATTACAATAGGCTACTTTTAAGCCCTGTCTCTTATACACATCTTGCATTACAAGGAAATCAAGAGAAAGAACTTCATTCATAATGGCAAATTATTTTTAAAATGAGACTAAAATGTGCATCATAAATCAAAATAATAGGGCTTAATTATAGAGAGTTATTAAATTATGAAAACATAAAGAGTATTCATATTATGTAAAATTTAAGAAAATAATAAAAAGTTCAAACTGGAAATACATACATATAACGAAAATCTATACAAGAAACAAGCTGTTCTGGAGTCTATCGATAAAATTAAATCATAAATGGGTAATATATGGTATTA